TATATTGTGACCAGAGAAGCTTTGTTCAGCCTGTTAGGATGCTGAAGCTTCATCAATGCACTAACCAGCCAATTGATTAGGTATCTTCCTCTGTTACTGATAACCATCTGTCCCAGTGAACCCACTTGATCCAAGCATCTACATTCAATATTCAAGCTTCCATGTTCATCAACTGTTTTGTTCTTCTCATCAGATTCCCTTTGGTCTGAATCTTCGTGACAGTTCTCTTTTAAACCTGCATCCTTTTGATCTCCTTCTTTAGAATTTCCATTTGGATTGTTTTGCTCAGTGATAGGACTTGACAAAGAGCTTGATTTATCCATACCATCTTGATTTGTCCCGAATTTTGATATCTGTTCAAGCTCTGTATCTGTGCCTGAAGAGTCTTCAGAAAAGCGAAGCACCTGTTTTGCTGGTACAAGAGATACAATTCCAGTACCATTTGAAGCTTGCAGATTGGGTACATTTGATTTCTTGACAAGAAGGCATCCAAAACCTGTTGGATTTTCACCAAAAACCTTGTAGAAAGAGCAAATGAGGAAGTCAGGGCGGAATAGAGAAAGGCCAAAGCTATCCATATCCTTCGGTCTCAATGCACAGGCATCAAGCAATACATGCCAACCATTTTCCTGTGCCATAGTCATCCATTGATAAGAATAACTGGTTCCAGTTATTCTCGACTGAAGAGGAAACACAAATAGTCCCCTGTGTTTCTGCTTCTGCTTCTTCCTGACAATCATTTTCTTCAATTTTGCTGAGTGAATCCTTAGCCTTGGCCATTTGAAATCGGCTGCCATGACACAGGCTCCTCTCTTCTCTGATGTATTAATCATGGTCTCAATGGCCTCGCTCTCGTGGTCGTAAACTGTAAGGAGTTTACGACTAGATTGGAAGGGGTAAGATTCTGCTACAAGTTTGAAAGCTGATGATCTATTGGCAGTAAATACCATAGAGTAATCATTTTGAGAGATCTTGAGAAAATCCATGATCCTTTTCTTGATAGCAGATTCTAATTTGCATCCATCGCCACCATGAAGCAGCTGCGACTTGAGATTTACCGACTTGTAACTTATACCAAACACTGGACAGTCAGACTTACGAGACGGAGGATAAGACGAAGATGCAACTGGGCTTGTCGAGATGTACTGGGACTGAGACTGTGACTGTGACTGCGAAAAAAGACCGACACCAATGTAATCAAGGCAAACATGGTTGGATTCTGAGAGATGAACATATTCTCGAGCTCGAATTTGATCAACCTGGGCGGTCTCAGAATACTTGGGGTAAGCTTTAATGAACTGGATAAAAGATTCTTGTAAAGAAGGGATCGATTCATGGTTGGTGAATTGAGCATTCGGGAAAAAAGAGGAGGTAGTTTTGGCTGCAAAGTCGCTACGACAAGTTGCAAACGTGCTTCTTCTCCTGACGATTGCCTGGTCGTGCTCGAGTCCTCTGAAGATAGGATTCGGACAACAACCTTCAAAACAAACTTGTGTTGCTTCCCTTAGATCAGGTGAGTGCATATTTCTTGTGTCTTCTCTGAACTATTTCAATTATTTTTATGTTTCAATTTCGACATCTTCCATGTTTTAATACTTGTCTGATGCTTACTTGTTAAGAGATGGAAGTGTGAAAAGGCTATTATTTAAAGTATGTATTCACAACTTTTTAGAAAGGGACGTAGTAATGACAGTTGTTTTCCATTGCTGTTTTGACCTTTTCTTGCAAATTCATCAAATTTTGGCTTTTCCTTTTCCTCCCTTTTCTATCTTGAATAATGTCATGTGTACACCTCGCAGTGCGTTGTGTACACCATTGTGTACACGTAGTACAATCTCTATCTTTATTTGCTAATCTTTTGTGCTTGTTTGCCAAGGTTGCCTTAGCATATGACTACACTCGGGAAAGAATTAGAATAAGTAATATTTCCCCTGATATTTCACTCGGGTCCTAACAAGTCTTTGATCATTTTGGTTTAGAAAATTCAATTTGAAGCAGGTTTACCTTACTATATATAATCTTTTTGAGAAGTAACTCATATGTTACTATCAAAATAAGTAACTTGTTTTCCTTTTAAGCTTAACCGAACATTGGTAGCACATCCCAATTTGATACAATTCGTTCAAAATTTGAAACTTGTTGGTATTAAAATACAAGTTTGAAATGTCTACTAAACACTTAATTTTGTTAGAGTCGTGTTAGTATGTCATACTATGCACGCTATATGTGTGCTTATATCTTCTACTATGAATGATTTTTTTTTTTTTTCGTTTTCCTTCCTTCAAGGTTTAGTACATTTTTATAAAAGAATTAGTCAACAAAATAATAGGATTAAATAAAAGTAAAGTTTGGGAAAGAAAAGAAGAGTGTATCCCGGCATCAATATTGTAGGTGGAGTGGTGGACCAAAAGAAGTGCTATGGCTGGCAAAAGGAAGCCCTCCATGGATACTCGATCCAATTGTACACATGAATACGAATATTGTTATTCAGTCCCATTAATGTGTAATATTAGGGCATCTTTGTTTCGGATTAAAATCATATTTTAATTTAAGTCAAAGTCAAATAATCAATATTAATCACATCTTTCATGTGTCCTACAGCTTTTCAACCACACATTTTAAATTTTTTTTTATAACAATCTACTAAAAATCTAATTTTAATCTCTACCAAACAACGACTTAATCTATTTTCTAGTGGGACCACTGTCACATAATAAGCACCAATTAGGCTGAAGCATTATTTATTATTAATGGACTAGGTCATGGGACTTGGGACTAACATTTATTTCTCAGACCGCGTCTCGATAGACCATATATTTCGGATATCACCGGTAAATTAAATTAGATCGAACAATACTTAATAGTATTAAGAGAGGAAAATAAGAAGTTAAAATCTTGTCTATTGTACTGTTTAGTCTCATGTACTACTGATAATATATATGTGCTTATAATGTGTTCCGTACAAGGTTACTGCTAATTCTTTTTTCGGTCTTAATTATATTTCCTGTTCGACGCAGGGCAATTGCTAAAATCTTGGAACGTGCTCTAGTCGTAAAAACATGTTTGCTAAGTGATTATATATGGGTTTATATTATATATAAATAAAAATGAGTAGTGAATAAATGGACAGTACCTATGAAATCTTCGAAATATGTGAATGAAAATTGACTTCGAGTACTAAAATAGTTAATAAACGCGAGTCAAACATAGCTGAACAAGTCTTGCTAGCAGTGAATTGTTCAACTTTATATACAACCTATTCTTGGTTAATGCTTCAGCCCAGTTTTATTTCTCAGTTTCTTGACTCATTATTTGCATTGTTATTATTTTTATTTTATTTTGAGAATTATTAATTTATTATACTTCTATGTGATGATTATTTTACTAGGACGTTGGGCTATCGTGGTCCATCAACGTCAGTCGCTGCTATTCCTTAATTGCTAACCACCTACCACCTACCCAAGAGAAAAGGAAAGGAAAGCAGTAAAATTATGGGTGAACAAAATATAATATTAATAGACAAAGAAGGATTCAAGTAATACAAAATCTTGTCCAATTATTTAAACCGAATAGCAGTTATTTTCGAAACATTTTAATTTCATTTTGTCCTCTCTACTCGCAAATGGGATTAAACAAATTGTTCATCCTTCATTTAACAAATTTTGGTTTTTTGTTTTTTCTATTATTAACATGGTATCGGAACAAATAAAGATTTTCAATTTGAGTTTCATTGGCACTTGTTTAGACAGAAATGAACTCAATGTGCACATGAATTGAAGTAAAAATTTATATAATTAACACTTTAAGCTTCTGAATGAAATTGTGCAGACAATTATGATGTTATAATATTATCCTGTGTGATTATTAAATAGTGTTGAGAAAATGTTAGTCCTTGCTTGATTCAAATAGAAATTCAATTGGAGGAAGGACGGACGACCGATTCTATTATTGATAGTGCAGTATCATTACAAAAGCGATAAAAGTAGGCCCCTGCTTCGTGGGCTTTATTTTGAGAAAATGGAGTTTTGAATAATGATTTTTTGAAGAATGTGTGATTAAAAAGTAAAGAAAACTTTTGAATTTACGTAAGAAATATTTTATTGCGTAAATGTGTGATTGAAAATAAATATGAGAATTAAAAAATTTTGAAATAATAGTCGTCAAAGTAATTGAAGTTTCGTTGAGTCCAAATGAAAACTGAAACACTGTCACATTTTATTTTTTGGTGATTTAAGAAAATACCAGAAATTTAGGCATAAAAACTCTTTGATTTGCGCGCGGAGAATTGAATTCGTTGATTATATCAAATACAGATAATTTAAGAGATTGATGAAAATCCCAACAATTCAAAATTCTATTCAAAAGTCAACTCATTTTATTACCATAAAAGTATATCCAAGAGACACTATATTTTTAAAAAGTATATTATATCATTTGGAGAGTATCTATAAATTTAGAGACTTAAAATTTTGAAGTACTCCAACAAATTCTTTATATTTAACACTTAATTTCACTATTCTCAAAAAATATTTATTATTTTTCTTTATCTTTTGTTTTAATTAGCTTTTCTTTGAATTATTTTATTGTTTTCCTACATTAAAATTGAAACAATATGAATGTATTTAATTTCAGAGAATGAGTTCAGCTCTTCAAATTTGAAGAGTCAAACACATTCTCTAAATTAAAATGTTAATTTAAAGAGTTTCCGAGAATATGATTTTAAAAATTGACTATTTAAAATAGAGAACATCTCATGTTAAATAGCCTCTTTGATATACTCTAAAACTTATAACTTATATTTAAAGTAGTAAATAAAATCTTGACAATAACTAAACTCCTAAATAACGGCTAACTCTAGATAATTATAAAATTAAAGATAACA